ATATATATATATATATCCAACATAAATGGGAAAAAAATCCTAGACAGTGATATTTAAACTTATCATTTCCTGCTATTAATATCCCTACAAACTTTGGATGCTGTGAAAACGTGCTAATAATTACACAGAAAGCTTGGAAACCAATACAACAACTTTTATTTATTTATGGCAAGTCACTAAGCATAATTTTTGGTGTTATGAGCATGAGCATGAGCATGGCCATAGGAAAAAAATAAATACTAAAGAGATCTTGAAGTTCAGAAAGGGTGTTGTGTGAAAAAGGCTGTCTAATTATAGACGACATGGAATGATTTAAATAAATCGCTGGTTTTGAATGGGTGTTACGGTTGTATTAATACGCCTATGCGATGCGTGTTACCGCCAGGAAGGGATGCGGCAGCCGCACGGGCGGCGTCCAGGTTTCGGGAAACGACAACGACTCTTTGGCTCTTTTCGGCCAGGAGAGAAGCGACCGCCTGCCCGATGCCCCGGGAGCCTCCGACCACCACGCACAGCCGGGACATGGTCCCGCCAAAGTCCCGCAGGTCTGCAAAGTGTAAAAGGAGCATACTTTTAATATTAATTTCTTACATAGAAATTAAAAGAAAAATTCAACACTCACGGGAGCATAAATTAGAATATTAGACCAAAATACAATTTTAAATAAATAAAGCAAGTCGCGGGAATATGCAGATATTATTTATTCTATTTATATATATTGTATTTCTGCTTCTGTATATATCATGGTGTACATAGCGCAGAGTGTCTTATAACTTTATTTTTAGTTCTTATTCTTATATCTGATATCCTTTTCTTTTATGTTCTTGTCCTGTGTCTATGTGTGACCGTCTGTAGTAACATGAGCAATTTCCTCCGGGATAAATAAAGTTTTTCTGATTCTGATTCTGATATTACCGTCGTGTGGATGTGCTGCACGGACTTATAGTTACAATCACGCAACTGATTTTACTATTTTTCTTGAGAACATTAAAATGGGTTTCATTTGTGATTAAATCTAACCGGACACAGTCGTCCGGTCTAATTTGCATTAAGACTCCTATTGTAATAATATTATACTAATACAATAAATGAGTAACACAGAAGAGCAGCGGCAGCCAGTTGGCAGATTACACGTGTTCCTACAGGCGGGATCAGACAGGTGTCATTAAACACCTTCAGGTCCAAAAAGCGGAAACTCTCATCACACTGCTCCCGTCTTCTCCAAACAGACATGGGATACACACGCAACCCGCGTTTGGCTTCTTAATTAGCAGTTATCGTTTCATTATCTGCATTTATCAGAATCTGCAATATGCAAATAATTTAACGCGCGGGAACAATGAAAATGTAAAGTCAGACTACGTGCAGCTCAATATCTGCAGATGCAGCTCTTTTCCATTACACGTGCTGTGTAGTTTAACTGTCCAGAAACTTAACCCCACCTTCGACAGAAGCCGAAAGTCCTTTCAGATGTTTAGTCGGCTGTTCGTTAACAGTGACAGGGGAGAAATAAGACGACGTTCATTTTATATTTCCAAAGATCCTTCCTAGGTCACCAATGACGCGTTGCACATTCTTCTTCGGTGACCAGAGAAAATTTCACAACAAACGAGATGCACGACAACGCCGACTACTGAATAGGAGTGCAAGCAGGACAGCTGAATCCGGATCGATCCTCGCTAAAACAACCCGGCAGCGCAAAAGTGTAACCATGTGTCCGGTGAAACGGTCAGTAGTTCAGAAGGGCATTATATCAGAGAAGACACGTTTATTAAATAACTAAATATACAGCATAGTACAGCATTCGTTACAAGCCTGACATATCATGTCTTTCAGCTTCTGCTTAGTGCCGCTAGAGGGCGCCCAAACGCCGCATGTTGAATAACCGTTATACTATTATGGGGAGATGAGTATTATATCGTTAATATAATGGCACCATGTGTTTACCGTATCATAAACTGAAGCGGTCGCCTGCGCTTTGCTTGCGACAATATCCATAATATATCATATATTCATGGGCACAGTGTGATACCGGATCCGCTTTTATAATTTCCAGGCTGAGGGCTACCTTTAGTCAGAATGGCTGACCACATGTTCAGCATGGTTGCAGTCTTAAAAATGGCAAAATTGTACCAATACTTGTTTTTTAAAACTGATACAGCAGTAACATCAAAAATGTCCTCCAAGTATTTACTAACGAAGGGGAAAAAAAAAGTTTACTTGTTGCTGATTTTGTCTTTTTTTTTTATGCGATGGGCGGGGCATCGTGCAGGCGGGGAAAGGAGGTGGACGATCCACTTGCGGCTAACAGGATGAACGGGGTTTATTAACAGAACTGAAAACACTGGGAAGACTACTAAACAAACAGACCACGAGGGGTCAAAAAGCAAAATAGGAAAAACAAAGACTAATTACAAAGGTCATAGCAACAAGGAACAGACAGGGAGGGAACCAAAAATCAAAAGAAGTCAACAAGAACTTCAGCAACATCAACAGGATCAGAAACTTAAATACAAAAAGCTAACAAGAGTAATGCAGAACAGGTGAAAACAATTAAGAAGGATTACAGGTAACAGGTGAAACTAATAAAACTAAAATCATGAAACTCAAATTAGGAAACAGAATCTAACACTAGGGGAATAAAAGAAAGGTAAAACACAACCATGGTCACAAAGCCAAAAACCAAAACAGAATACAAAACACAGGAACTAGAAAACTGATACAAATAAAACACTAGGGAACAAAATCTACAAAAACAGAGAAGGCAGGATTTGAACACACGACTGAGTGGATTACAGGTAGCCACATGCTCAGCTCATTGAGCAGAGGAAACACTGAAGACTGACAACAGGGAGGACAGGATGACCAGCACCACCTGCTGGCTAAACGGGGAGAAGACACGAAAGACTCGGACAGACAGGTGCAGACCCTGACACGCTGTGTCTCTTGCTTGTACCTGGGGACAAGCATATCTGGGTTCGTTTCAGCTTCCGTTGGGCAGCTTTTAAGCAGACCTTGGGCTGCAGATTAACAGACACAGAGCGGAGAAGCACAGCATGGCTTTGTGTGTAAACTTAACTCACTGAAGACCTCGTATCATAACCAACAGTTAATCAATAAAAGGCTATGAGAAATGGTGGGATTTAATCATCTCATGTCAATTAATTTTCATAAAGATTTTTTTTTTTTGATTGTGCAACTGCAACTAGCTTGGTTAGTTAACAGTGTAGCACAAATAGCAACGCTGAAAACACAGCGGTACATAGCATTTGTGTCAGTCACAATCCTCGTCGTACTGCGGTTGCTGTTAGGGTATAAGAATGAGTAAGAAGCCCATCAAAAATATTATTTATTTGGAAAACACCATAAAGTTACTCAGTTACCAGAATCATGATGTTCATAAACACTGCTGGCAGAAAGTTCCATTTATTGCTAAGATGAGATTCAATAAATCCCCTGTATTAACTTTTATAGGTCTCCTAGTCAGAATTCTACGTGTGTTGTTTTTGCTCGTGATTTTCTGTAAATTTAGGATGTTTGTGAGAGAAGGCAGAGTGCAGGAGAGTGACATGGCTCATTTTTCCACAGTGCATGGCCTGACATTCGTGGGAGAATCTCGCGATTTGTGCGTAATTTTAATAATTCCCGCAAATTCAGTGTACATAATGTGGGACAGTACCACCCTTAAACTGCTGTATTAGTGAAGATCAGGTTGGGGAGCATGAACTGGTATGGCGTGTTACACAACGAAGCATGAATCAGTGGAAATGGAAAGATGAATATTTGATATACTGTAATTGTAACAGCAATACTTAACGAATAAAAAAAAATATATATATATATATATATACACTCACCTAAAGGATTATTAGGAACACCATACTAATACGGTGTTTGACCCCCTTTCGCCTTCAGAACTGCCTTAATTCTACGTGGCATTGATTCAACAAGGTGCTGAAAGCATTCTTTAGAAATGTTGGCCCATATTGATAGGATAGCATCTTGCAGTTGATGGAGATTTGTGGGATGCACATCCAGGGCACGAAGCTCCGGTTCCACCACATCCCAAAGATGCTCTATTGGGTTGAGATCTGGTGACTGTGGGGGCCATTTTAGTACAGTGAACTCATTGTCATGTTCAAGAAACCAATTTGAAATGATTCGAGCTTTGTGACATGGTGCATTATCCTGCTGGAAGTAGCCATCAGAGGATGGGTACATGGTGGTCATAAAGGGATGGACATGGTCAGAAACAATGCTCAGGTAGGCCGTGGCATTTAAACGATGCCCAATTGGCACTAAGGGGCCTAAAGTGTGCCAAGAAAACATCCCCCACACCATTACACCACCACCACCAGCCTGCACAGTGGTAACAAGGCATGATGGATCCATGTTCTCATTCTGTTTACGCCAAATTCTGACTACCATTTGAATGTCTCAACAGAAATCGGGACTCATCAGACCAGGCAACATTTTTCCAGTCTTCAACTGTCCAATTTTGGTGAGCTCGTGCAAATTGTAGCCTCTTTTTCCTATTTGTAGTGGAGATGAGTGGTACCCGGTGGGGTCTTCTGCTGTTGTAGCCCATCCGCCTCAAGGTTGTGCGTGTTGTGGCTTCACAAATGCTTTGCTGCATACCTCGGTTGTAACGAGTGGTTATTTCAGTCAAAGTTGCTCTTCTATCAGCTTGAATCAGTCGGCCCATTCTCCTCTGACCTCTAGCATCAACAAAGCATTTTCGCCCACAGGACTGCCGCATACTGGATGTTTTTCCCTTTGCACACCATTCTTTGTAAACCCTAGAAATGGTTGTGCGTGAAAATCCCAGTAACTGAGCAGATTGTGAAATACTCAGACCGGCCCGTCTGGCACCAACAACCATGCCACGCTCAAAATTGCTTAAATCACCTTTCTTTCCCATTCTGACATTCAGTTTGGAGTTCAGGAGATTGTCTTGACCAGGACCACACCCCTAAATGCATTGAAGCAACTGCCATGTGATTGGTTGATTAGATAATTGCATTAATGAGAAATTGAACAGGTGTTCCTAATAATCCTTTAGGTGAGTGTATATATTATATATATAGTGATTGTAACAGCAATAGTTAGCAAATAAAAAAAACTAACCGCCACTACAAAATCGCCCTATGAAGCGACATGATGTCACCGCTGACTCTGATACACCCGTCCCCCGCCAAAGTTAATATGAAACCTATGGGTAATCATTGCAATGTAATTCAAGTCATTATTTCTTTACTTCAATGCTCCATTTTGACTTAGAAATTCCATTGAAATTGGCCTTAAATAGGTTCAAAAAACGAAAAAGAGAACAGTGAATTAATTACAAACTGAAATCTAATTTTAATAAATCATACAAAAACATGCATGAAAATAACACAGAAACACGTCTATCGAGTGCGCCGCTTATTCTCCAGTCTGACTGCTGCGATCCGCTTATTGCATCTTTCTGTGTCAACTGGAAATCTATGAAGTGTTATAGCAGGTTTATGACCTCTCCGGGGTCTCAGGCATATTTAACAAAAAATCTGCTGGAAAACTACATACATTTTTCTGCATTGTAAAGCTTTTTCAGTTTTTTTGGAAAGACTACAAGTACACTGCTCAAAAAATTAAAGGAACACTTTTTAATCAGAGTATAGCATCAAGTCAATTACACTTCTGGGATAGTGATCTGGTCAGTTAAGTAGCAGAGGGGGTTGTTAATCATTTTCAGCTGCTCAGGTGTCAATGACGTTAACAACAGGTGCACTAGAGGGGCAACAAGGAGACGACCCCCAAAACAGGAATGGTTTAACCGGTGGAGGCCACTGACATTTTTCCCTCCTCATTTTTTCTGACTGTTTTTTCACTAATTCTGCATTAAGCTAGGGTCAGTGTCACTACTGGTAGCATGAGGCGATACCTGGACCCTACAGAGGTTGCACAGGTAGTCCAACTCCTCCAGGATGGTGCATAAATATGTGCCATTGTCAGAAGGTTTGCTGTGTCTCCCAGCACAGTCTCAAGGGCATGGAGGAGATCCCAGGAGACAGGCAGTTACTCTAGGAGAGCTGGACAGGGCTGTAGAAGGTCCTTAACCCATCAGCAGGAATGGTATCTGCTCCTTAGTGCAAGAAGGAACAAGATGAGCCCTACAAAATGACCTTCAGCCGGCCACTGGTGTGAATGTCTCTGAGCAAACAATCAGAAACAGACTTCATGAGGGTGACCTGAGGGCCCGACGGCCTCTAGTGGGCCCTGTGCTCACTACCCGGCATTGTGGAGCTCGACTGGCATTTGCCATAGAATACCAGAATTGGCAGGTCTGCCACTGGTACCCTGTGCTTTTCACAGATGAGAGCAGGTTCACCCTGAGCACATGTGACAGAAGTGAAAGGGTCTGGAGAAGCTGCGGAGAACATTATACTGCCTGTGACATTGTTCAGCATGACCGGTTTGGTGGTGGGTCAGTGATGGTCTAGGGAGGCGTATGCATGGAGGGACACACAGACCTCTACAGGCTAGACAATGGCACCTGACTGCCATTAGGTATCGAGATGAAATCCATGGACCCATTGTCAGACCCTATGCTGATGCAGTGGGTCCTGGGTTCCTCCTGGTGCACGACAATGCCCGGCCTCATGTGGCGAGAGTATGCAGGCAGTTCCTGGAGGATGAAGGAATGGATACCGTTGACTGGCCCCCACGCTCGCCTGACCTAAATCCAACAGAACACCTCTGGGACATTATGTTTCAGTCCATCCGACGGCGCCAGGTTGCACCTCAGACTGTCCAGGAGTTCAG